AGAACAATTATGGAAATACAGCTTTTGTGCAGCTATATCAGGGGATGTAGAAATTGTCAAGGTCGTGTACGAAAAATATAATACTCTGCCAACAATTCGAAACCGCTTCAGCATAAGCCCAATTCAAGAGGCAGCTGCGCTGGGAAACAAAAAAATGGTTGAATATCCTTACGAAATTACACCTCTTCAACATTTCGAGGATGAGGAGCGCATGAACATTCTTGCTGCAACTATCAACACTGGACGTTTCAGTGTTAGTTGCAGCAAGAATGTTCATGCGCTCCTCATCCTCGAAATGTTGAAGAGGTGTAATTTCGTAAGGATATTCAACCATTTTTTTGTTTCCCAGCGCAGCTGCCTCTTGAATTGGGCTTATGCCGAAGCGGTTTTGAATTGTTGGCAGAGTATTATATTTTTCGTACACGACCTTGGCAATTTCTACATCCCTGATACAGCTGCACAAAAGAAAGCTGTATTTCCATAATTGTTCTTAATTTCCAGGTCTCCTTCGTCCAAATATTTGACTAGCATGTGGGCAATTGCAGTTTGCTTGGTGAGAGCAGCTAGGTGAAGAGGCGTATCTTCTACTTTTGTTATCGAAAGACAAGCTGCACTTTTGTCCAATCTCAGAACAGGTTCAACAGCGTTCCAATCTCCATTTAAAACAGCTTTATATAATATTAAAAGGCGACCTTCCTTTTCACCCCCTGATGTTGTTTTCAGATATGTGTTGAAAGTGGAAGATACTCCACATATTAAACCAAATCCACTCGCATAATCAAATATTCATATTTACTAGCACATCAACTTTACATTGCAGTTTGTTAAAAACTCATCTCATTACTATTGTAATTTGTTCAAATCATAACGAGGGTTGCTAAGGATGATTTTTGTATACTTTCCAAGTAGGAAAGTCGTGAAAATTGAATGAAATAAAATAACGTAGAACCAAAATGAAACTTCTCCCTCCCTTATTACTTGGCTTTGATGTCATACATATAGTCTCAATTGAAAAATCTTATAATTTGTATTTGTTTAACGTACTTCGGGTACGTGTCACGAACCGCAAGGTCGTGACATGAGATGGGGCATGACACGGAAATGTCATGACTCCAAATGGGAAAATGTAGTAGACTTAAGGTTGATTAGGTCTAAACTTCAAAGGTACACGGTGATGCCTTTGTCACCTAATTTGGCGAGAAGATGAATGGAGTCCTTGGTGACAAGTTCATGTCCCGGTGATGACTGGAAAATTCAGGTGACGTCGCAGGCAGATCGCAGGCAGTGCCCAGGACATCGCCAGGACATGACCAGACACAGACTGAAGTCACGACACGATGCAGGCAGCACAACAACACAGACTGCAGGCTACCTAACTTAGGCTGTGACATGGGCACGACATGAGCAGTAAATTCCAACATACCAAGTGGTTTTCTAGAGGAAAATACCATGGACAGATTGCTTGGATATTTTGGGATATTTTGTACAAGTTGGTTACTTAACCCACTTGCCCAAGAAAGACCAAGGAAGGAAGAAAAACTCAAATTGATAACTATGAAAGGGACATTTATCCCATGGAATTTTTGTAGAGAAATCTCACTTGCAAGAAGCAAAGTCCAAGTTTGCTTCCTTCTGGTCTAAGGAGATTTAAGGCAAGTTGTAGCCAATGGGGGCCCTTGGATGGGAATTGATCTTAGCCATTAAATCCAAAGAGGTTTGCCTATAAATAGAGATGGAATCTCCTTTGTAAAATATGTAGAGGATGGTAGAATTTATGGGAATTCATACCTTCCTAGAAGATGTAGAATCTCATGTAGAGTTTAATAGAATTCATTAGATTAGATT